TCCTATCTCGACGAAACCTTTATCAATGAGCCAACTGGAACTAATGTATCCAGACGGAATTACCGTGACACCAACTGGAACTAACACGTCACGGTGGAACTAATGTAATATTAATGCCATCGGCTAATTGGAACTAACACATCTCCATGGCATTAATGTGATCAGCCAACTGGAACTAACATAACAAGATGGCAATAATGTGATCAGTCAACTGGAACTAACACACCGCAGTTGAATTAATGTGATCAACCAACTGGAACCAACACATCTCGGTGGAATTAATGTGATCACCGAAATGGGACTAGCACAGTTCGGTGAAATTAGTGAGATGAACTCTCTGTTAAAATAAATTTAATTTTTCAATCAGACAAGATGTGGCGTTTTGATAATCACTTCAGTACGTATTTTAGCCCAAACTGCTCAAGTATGAAGACTAGACAACAAGAGTGGGCACGATACAACTCCTCTAAATTAACCTGATAAGCACCACTTCTTTGGCTAAATTAACGTGATAAACTATCTTGAAACTCTGAGCTGTCTAAACAATCAAACACCCGGCTGAGGCATCGTCGAAATGACAGCGCATGATTTGACACAATCAGCTTGCCGCTTTGCATTCATTGTGAACTGATCCATAACGTCAGCAGTGGTGATGCTGTCTTGCTGGCGCTGCGTTCTGTGGGCTATTCAAATCGTATCATAATAGCCAATGAACCCCCCCCCCCCCAACAAATTAAACCTTATCTCAACTTTACTATTAGGAAAGTACACTAATCACTTTAGAAGGGGTGAGGGGGGGGGGGGGATTCTAACACTCTCTAACCTAAACTACTCACCACACCATTATTGGTTCTTGGTACCGGCTGGTTCCTTTTCATTCTTCTAGTTTTATATCACTATTGATCAGATTGTTTCCTAACACCTCTTCAATTAATTAGTCTAACAGGCAGATCTGGTGAATAGCCTTTCACTCAGCAAGAAGTCGTGCCCCTACCATGCAACTACTTTTCGACACAAAGGCTGTCGATTCGCGACGCTTTCATAATCTGGAGGTGACGGGTTCGAATCCCGGCACTGCAATAATAGCTTTCGATCTCCGTGTGGGTTCCGGGGCCCCACTGTGGGGAAAGCAGGAACTGATCGACTGCCTCCCCAAGCATGTCGTAGGAGTCGACTTATTTGGGAGCGTCCTTTAAAGTCGAAGTGCATCTGACGGGACGGCACAGAACAACCAACTACCAACAAATAAGTCAGTAAAAACGGCTGTACACGCGAAATTCAGGTCCTGGTGAAAAGTTCAAATGGACGAACAACCAGAACTTTCCACTGGAGCTTACAGCCAGTGAAAAAAAGAAAAAAGTCGAAAAAAATAGCTTTCGAATTTTATGGTGTCTCGGGTGTCCTTCAAACATTTTATTTCTGTCTATGAATACATGTTTGTTTTTTTAAATGATAAAAAATGTTTCCAGTCTCAAGGGTCAATAACACACAAGAATTGATACATGTTGATGGGATCCCAAGATGTGAAGAATTATGATCACCCACGCTCAGCCAGCATGGCACGTCATGATGATAACGCTCAACTTTTATAAGCCTCGTCAAGGACACTGTTAGGCTAACAAGTATATAAAAATAGTCTCAAGGTCATTGTCCTCTCGTTTATATCTGTTCAGCCCTTTTACAATATCCGTATCTTCTATTCACACCGACCACCCTATTCAACTTCTTATCTATGCACCACCTTGAACTATGACTCCACCCACCTGCCCCCAATTAGACAAGGCGAAATGTTTTTGTTTTTTTAAACACACACACGGCGCCGGCATGCGGACTAACTGTGGACATACTGGGAGGTCAGAGTGAAAACTGTTATCGAAACATGACCAGATAGACACGCTCATTGCTTATGCCGCGGCTAAAAGGGCATGATCAGGACATGGAATCCAATGAGATTTCGCGTGTCCATTGTAAATCTGTAGTCAGAGTAGCTGAGAAGGTAGATAACATGGTAAACGGGAAATTAACAGTAGTATCATTCAAGATACTCGTTCTGTTTCTTCAGGCTGTTAAATAATCCATGTGTTGGTTTGCTAGACCATTCGCAGGTTAAGGATAGAAAAAGTGACCCAGGCGAGTCCGTCCTTGTGGGTGAGCTAGGACACCGGTCTCCTAAAGCCCCGTCACGGTCTAAACGTACACTGTCTTTGTGAATTCACATATATGAAGAACCCATACGGTCACTCTCTCGTTGTCTATACACCACTTGACCTGTTCACGTTTCCTGGCCCATCTGCACTCTTTCTCAGTCTGATCTTGGTCAGGGGTGTCACGTTGTACTGCTTTCTTCGGAAAGTCTCTCTCGCGTGACCTATAGTCTCAAGCTGTAGATTGGGGTGTTCGGGTTAGAGCCAGCTCTAGATGCTCTGGGATAGCTGAAAGCTGTGTCGTCATGTAGTTTAGAACACGCGACACTGGCGCTGATGTAACTGGAGGCATGACTTCTTCTTCTTCTTCGCGTTCACCAGCTGTAAACTCTGGCGGAAGGTTCTGGTTGCTCGTCCACTACTGAACTGCAGTCCTGCTCCAGAACCTGAGTGTTGCGTGTGCATCAGTTTTACAGATCTCATTCTCTTGAATACAGACTGTTGGTTCCTTGCCTCTCCGGCAGATGCACTCCGACTTCAAAGGAAGCTCCCCAATTAGTCGACTCTTACGACATGCTTTTGGGGAGGCAGTGGGTCTATTCTTGTTTTCCCCACAATGGGGCCCCGGAACCCACACGGGGGGGGGGGGAGGCATGACAATATGATACTCCTTCAACGTAGAAGAGTCTGTGAAAGTATAATTGAAAGGGCAGACAGTGTGTAAATGGGCCGGGAAACATAAACAGGACAACATCACGTCTCGCCGTGTGGGTTGCGGGCCAAACATCTTTAGAGAATAACACCCACATCTAATAAGCATGTGGTAAGAGTCGACTAATTAGGGATGTTTCCTTCGTAGTCGGAGTTTATCTGCCTGAGTGGCGATGAAACAACCAACAGGCTGGATTCAAATAAGCCAGATCTATCAAACAGATGTGAAGACAAACTTAGGATTTTAGAACAAGACTAAAGTCCAGAGGTGGATGAACAACCAGAACTGGCCGCCGGAGTTTACAGCAGGTGAACGTCAAGAAGAAGAAATTAATTCACATGAACACCACAATGTCCAAGGGGAAGATGATGACATAAAACTGTACGTCTCCTAATATGGCAAATGTGAGTAAACAAACAAAGACACGAATCATATCAGTGGGACAGATTCAGCTGCTCAGTCCCGTATAATGTTCCAGGAAGATTGGGATCAAAGGGCTCAAGCTTCCAGTGTGGGTCCTAGGACCCCGTTATGGGGAAAACAAGAACAGACCCACTGCCACTCCAAATTAGAATGTCGTAGGGGCCGACTAATTGAGATCGTCCTTTGAGGTGGAGTGCACCTGCCCGAGCGACAAGGAACAACTAATTGCTCACAAATAGGCCAGTAAAACGTGTGTGCACGCAAAACTCGGCTCTGGAGTAAAGCCAAAGTCCTAATGGACGAACAACCAGGACTTTTTGTCAGAGCTTACAGCCAGCGAACGAAGATGAAAAAAAGAAAGAAGAAAGGGCGTAAGTCTTTTTTTTTAGCGTGCAATAAGAATAATTGTTATTATTATGTGCTCAACTGCTAACAAATATAATATGATATTTGAGACCATATAAAATGTATAAACAAATACATTATTCATCAATGTATAAGACGCATCCCAAATACTGTTAAGAAAACATGTTCCAATTTTTTTAATCACATTTAATTCTTGCCCCCATTTCAATACATAAGTATCTCATTTCAGCCATTGAGCATTTTTGTCCCCCAATTGTGTGCACGCTTTCCTTTGTTCATTTTGCTCAAAATATCATGCTTAAACCGTCAAAAGAAAGGTCTTTTAGTCTTTTCCGTTGATGGAAGTCCGAGATGACGTCCTCCTGGTCAACATATTTGAACATCTGGAGTTTAAAACTAGCGGTGTAGGAATACGCTTACAAGCTTTTTCAATATCGCAGGCAACTGTGAAAAATAACGGTGCCTTCCTTGTATCAGATACAGTATAATTCTTAGATTTAAACAAAAAGGGCGTCTTATACACCGCTGTTTAAATGTAAACGCCTACACATGGTTAACAGGACTACACAGAGCTCTTGCACATTGTTTAATTTAAGTCAGCGGTCTGCAAATCGCGGCCCGAGAGCCGCATGCGGATCTTTAGCGACCTGAGTGCGGCTCGGTCTGTCGGCCACAAATCGGTTTTGACTCTGAAAAACATGGTTTTTGATTGCTCTCAAAAATATGTTAATCGTCCTGCAGCTGATTTTTGGCTCTTTTAACTAGAGAGTTGGCCGACCACTGGTCTGGAGGTTAGAGTTTCACCTCCCCTTTCCACTAAAAAAAATATTTTGAAGCTTAGGGCCTCCCCCCCCCCCCCTTAACACGGGGAAGGTGTTCAGATGTCTATGGTAAGATCGCATATATAATCACCATTGTTTTCTTGTTTGAGTTAATTAATGTGATTATATTTGAATCTTTTATGTGATGCCTTACTTAACCAACAGTTAGCTAACAGGAAACACTAAGTGGGCAACATATTAAATGCTTCAGTAAAGGCTTATGCGGCTGGCTGAACGATTAGGATGCTGGGCTCACAAGCGGAAGACAAAGACACAGGTTCGAATCTTCGGTAAGGCTGGGAATTATTTCTGTCTGGGAAGGTGGGGGGGGGGGGGGGTGCGACAGCACTAGCCACTAAGACGTAAAACCTTAGACCCCCCCCCCCCGCAAAAGTGACATAATAAAGGCAGTAATTGGCAGGTTGGTTTTTTTAAGGAGGGGTGGGGGTGGGGGGGGGGGCAGTAAACGCTTGTCGATAGAGAAAGTTGCCTAAAAAGAATTGTTTCAACTCACCTCATTTTTGGAGTCGTGGCAAGGTCTTCCGCAGAACCGCTTCTTTCGATCGACGACTGGCTAGAAAGTTGACTCCCGGCAGATCTCAGAGGTCCTATCTCTTCCTCGGCCTCGGTGCTCTCCTCGTTACTGCTATCGTCCAAATCGAAAAACACACTCCCAGAACTTTCGATGGATCCATTCGGAAGTGCACCGTTATTCAACAGCCCGTCTCTATCTGCTGGTGACTGAGCCGTCACTTCGTCTGCCATCATGTGTCTCTTCTAATATAGAAATGTTTGTCTCCGTAGTATCTTAAATGTGTTACTTAACGCCCCTCAGCGAGTAACAGATAACGTGTACGATGTTGGTAATTATGAAGATCAGCACAGGAAGATCTTATAAATGTAATGCTGAGGAGAAACAAAAGTACGTCGTGAAAATTTATTAATCAGGTCAATTTTAAAACATTTTTATATTTTGGAACACCGTTATCTAAAATCTTTAAACAAACCGTAGACACTGCTAACATTCGTCTTTGTTCCAATTGATTGTACATCGATATTATCTGTTATCTTTATTTACGACAGATGTACTCTGACTTCGAAGCAAACACCCCTACTTAGTCGACTTTCACCACACGCCTGTCATGGGCGCAGTGGGTCTATTCTTTCTTTCCCACAATAAGGCCCCGAAACCCATATAGGGGAAAGCATACCCATTTAAGATATATCACATGTATCGTCTTTCCCGTCAAATTCAAATCACGCGTAGAACACTGTTCTTTCATCTTTAATACAAATCGACTGTACACATGCACAAAATATGAGGGGCTAAAGTGACGTACATGAAATGCAATGAAGGCAAACACGAGAGTGTAATGTACGCCTGGATTATCAACAGTTATTCAACGGCCCACAAGAGACGAAATAGTTCAGGTCCCTTTTCCATGCCTTTTGGCGTATTGGGAATATAGGGCTAGACCTATATTTGTATAGACCAATCGGCACTTGGTGGGTGATGTGGTCAGCATCACAAGGGCCGCCTTTACTTCCCATGACTGCACAAGGTACCCACTCAAGGCTGGGTCGACCTGGAAGTTAAGGTCACTTTTTTTTAGGGGGAAAAAATGTCCGGCTCCGTCAGGACCCGAACCCACAATCTTCCGATCCCCAGGCGAGGCGTCTATCCGACAACGCAACGGCGAAATGGTGTGCTTATAGCTAGTCTTAGAAACCCTGGACATGTTTCATAACGTGAAATGAACGCTGTGTCTGTCTCTACAAATAAACCTAACACCTTATCATTCTCTAATGGAGAATGAAGTAAGATCTGCGCTACGGCAACTCAAAGACAAGTATTCTTTTTTTTAAACTACAAGTGGATACTAAAGCAATCTGTTGATTAGTAAATATGGTCTGAGTGTCAGTACAAATCCCAGCACTGTGTCACAAGAACAGCACCCCCGTCCCCATAAATATTCCAACAACAGACACACAAGTGGACGGAAGGCAGGCAGACAGACAGACAGACAGACAGACAGACAGACAGACAGACAGATAGATAGATAGATAGATAGATAGATAGATAGATAGATAGATAGATAGATAGATAGATAGATAGATAGATAGATAGATAGATAGATAGATAGATAGATAGATAGATAGATAGATAGATAGATAGATAGATAGATAGATAGATAGATAGATAGATAGATAGATAGATAGATAGATAGATAGATAGATAGATAGATAGATAGATAGATATAGATAGATTAGATAGATTAGATATTAAGACAGACAACAAAACAGACATAAACATACAGTGCACAATATCCAACTTACGATCAGTACATCCCGCAACAGAACTAAATAGAGCCTCACTGGGTATCGTATACACAACAAGATTCTGATATAACAAAATAAGGCATGCCCGACCGACTCAACCAAGACGCATAACGTACTTGTTGACAACGTCAGCGGACAAAGCAATCGAAACGACAATACTCCAGTCACCAGATGCAGATCTCAAGGTGCTGTAATAAAATCCTTGTCACAAAGAACTCAAGACAACATTTGTTTACCTATATTCTATTTTAGTGGTCAGAGAAAATACATCATTGAATTAGAAAGACAAGCAGCAGGAGGCCGACAGGTTATATCTGTCGACTGTACTAATTCAAATAAACTTATCTTCTTATCTTTCAATTGTCCACGCCATGTGACGTGGGTAGTCATGTCTGCACATAGCCTTCTGTCTCGTGAACTGTCAATCACTTTCGATATAGATGTTCTTCAACGCCATGACAGAAGACACATGAATAAAGAATATGCTGCTAACTTTGCATGTGAAAACAGACCTTTTATACTTTTACTTAAATAAAATGGTCTATCGCGTCACCGTGTTGTTCTGTAGCCGTCTAGGGGTGTACGTACTTGTCAACAACATTCGACAGGTTCGTTTCCAAAGAAAACATCACCAAAACAAGTTGACACTGGTAATATTTTGACAACCCATTTCACAAAATAAAACACAATTCGGTGTTCAGGAGACAAGGGCGCGACAGTCATAATGGAAGAATTGTCAACGTAGTTTCTATACAGACAAGAACGAACGAACGAACGAACAAACTTTATTTTCAAAGGGTTACAAATTGGGCACGCAGGCCCGTCTGACATTCGGCCCTTTTAAGCACTCGTTTTTCAGAGTACCACTGCCTGTTATCTAAAATGCATGTTATGGATATAGAATAAAGATTCAACAAGACATGTTTACACGGAGACAGTAGTCGATAAGGGATTTGGTCGAGATCGGTACACTGTGTATTAAGTAATTTACCATACCAGGACATCCCACAGAGCGATAAACACCCAGTGACACAAAGTGCCACCACACGGATGAGGATAACCCGTGGAGAGGTCCCGAAAACCCCGTTCAGCCGTTAGGTTATATTAGGACCCCCGGCAACAGGGGGCTTCAAAATAACGAAAAATTGCATGCCACAAGGGAATGACGATTATAAACTGTGTACTACCAGGTAGGGGGGGGGGGGTGAATAAAACTCTTACTACCAAATCATGCGATTGATGGAAAAGAGCAGCGGGGGCAGAAAAACTAAACCAAGTAGTAGCAGCAGTAATACATGCTGCTTCGAGAGCTCTCCGGCTCTCGTCATCTGGCTGCAAGAGATTCCAAACCTGAAAATAAATACTGATCTATACTGGGACATACTATTACTTTTTTTTCGCGCCCACCGGCTGCTAACTCCGGCACCAAGTTTATGTTGCTCGTCCATTTCCGGAACTTTAGTCCTGTTCTAGAACTTTAGTTCTGCGTGCACACCCGTTTTATAAATGTGGCTTATCTGTATGCAGACGATTGGTTTCTCGTCGCTGATACGTTTGCACTTCGACAAGAACAGAAAGATCTATAATTGGTCTACTTTTACAATATGATTGTTAGGGGAGCAGTAGATTCCTGCCCTCTATATAATATTATTTCCCAGAACGCATGGGCGGGCGCTAGTTGAAGGCAGAAGAACGAAAGTTACACCGTGGTATAAATTGATTTATATAACGCCTATCCTCCGAATAACGGTCTTAAATTATAGAGGATGGAAAATATACCCTAACAGGGCCTCAGTCACGTGTCAATTACGCACCTCCGTCGTCTTAAATTGCGCACTTCCGGCGACTTTCGCCACCGCCGAGAGTATCTATCCCCACGCCGCTCATGGATTGGGACTAAAATACATGACTGGGACTCTTGAGCAGAAGCTACCGCATCTCCTGCAGCTTCTTTCATTTTATTTGCTCGTGAGTCCTAGGAATCTAGTCTAACCCCAATCCACGCCGCGTGGCGGAAGTAGCCGGAAGTTCGCAATTCGGCGGTGGCGTTATAGTCCCCGGAAGTGCGCAATTGACACGTGACTGAGGCCCTGTTAGGGTATATTTTCCGCCTCGATAATTTAGGACCGTTATTCGGATAGCCTCTCCTTCTTCTTCGCAATCACCAGCTGTATACCCCGGCCTCGAAATGAACCATCAGGAATTCCTGCGTCTCTAGGGGGAAACGCTGCAGTTTGTAATTGTCTTACAATCCGTTTAGTTAAAATTCCGGGGCAAACGTGCGACTGCCTGTCATTATGGATAAAGAAAGATATCAAACTGACGGATTATTCATGCCATGTTCCGGCAAATGAAGTTGGCCCCACTACAGTTGTGACTAGAGGTCAGGACATAAACTGCCTTAAATCCCGGCTAAAAGTGCACACGCTGCATTGCAGAACATTCATTATGAATGCAAACTGAATACAAGGTACCACCTAATTAACAATTTCGTTATTTCTTTTTCAAGGTGTTTAATGCTCTGTGTGAAAAAAAAAAAATCACGTTCAGCCAGTATCCCCGAAGGTAGAGCTGTAGGTTATAACTGTGGCTAGGTTAGTGTGTAAAAAAGTAAAGGACACTTTTCCACGTTTTCAGGCGTAGTGGGCATATAGGGCTAGACCTATAATTTATACACCATTAGGTCCCTGAGGGGTGATGTGGTCAATATCCCTTCGACAGCCTTTACTGCACAGGGCTGCACCTGGAACCCACTCAAGACTTGGGGGCAAAGGTCATTTTTGACCTTAAAGAAAGCCTAGTTCTGTCAGGACCCAACCCACGACCTTCCGATTTGCAGACGAGCGTCCAGACGCTACACCACGTCCACTCCCGACTTGATTATGTGCGCCATTTAAAGCAGCATATCACCCCCCCCCCCCCACCCAAAAGCTCTGAAAAGGACTCCTGCAGCGCAGAAGCGATCAAATAAGACACCCAAATACTGTCCCGATCGACAACGAAGTCGTCTACCAGTGAGCCAATGAGCGACCCGGTCGACGATGTTCCTTCTAAACATCAAGGTTATCAACGAACTACAAGGGGTGGGGGGGGGGGGGGGCACCAAAATAAAAGAGGATTTGTTTTAGATTCTCTGAAAGCCTGAGCTTGAAATCCGACGCTTTGGTGTTGTTGTTGTTATCGATCCAGCGGCGCATGAGCTTTCGCCCTTTGGCCCAATGCCATGTAGTGGAATTTGCATGTTTTCACAAGCTGTTCTTTTCCTCCGTACAAGGTGTTCCACTTGTCTGGTCTCGGAGGGAGTAGCGTTCTTCTTGTCTCACTGAGTTTTGGGCACTCAAAGAGATGGTGTTCAACAGTTTCGTAGGGGTAGTTACATAGCTGGCACTCTGGGGAGTGTTGTGGCTGTATT